ACCCCTAATCTGAAGAATCAAATTCAGGAGGTAAAACAATAAAATAACTGATTAAAAAATTTTATAACCAGGTATTTTTACTCCAGCAAAGCCAGAAATGCTCCATCACTTTCTAAATTTTTTTTAAATCGATAAAACCACCCTTAAATAGAAAAATTCAAATTTAATAAGTAAAAAAATATTAAATTACCGGTTTTTTTAAAAACAGAACCTTACATGTATGTAGTTTTGCTCTTCTAACTCAAAAAAAAAGCCAGCATTGTTCCATCATCCTCTGAATTTTTTTAATCAAAAAAACTACCCTTAATCTGAAGAATCAAACTTAGGAGGTAATACAATATAATTATATTGTATTACCTCCTAAGTTTGATTCTTTGATGGTTTTTTCGATTTAAAAAAATTTTAGAGGGTGAGGGAGCATTTCTGGCTTTGTTTCTGCCTTGCTGGAGTAAAAATACCTTGTTATAAAATTTTTTAATCAGTTATTTTATTGTTTTATCTCCTGAATTTGATTCTTCAGATTAGGGGAGTTTTTTCGATTAAAAAAATTCAGGGGGTGCTGGATCAATGCTGGCTTTGTTTTTGAGTTAGTGGAGCAAAGTTTCGTAGATGTAAAATTAGGTTTTTTTAAAAAATAAGTTGATTTATTTTTTATCTCCGAAGTGTGAATTTGTCCGTTTAAGGGTGGTTTTGGTCGATTTAAAAAAAACTGAGGGTTATGGAGCAATTCTGAGCTCATATTTGGTTTCAGTGGCCCAAAATACTATAGGAAATATATATGTCTAGTTCAAGAAACAGACAACTTTTTTTTGTGTGCCTGTGTAATCTTAACATTAAAAAATCAATTCTTGTGATAACCCTGATTTATCATTAATTATCATCTTTCTATAGCGATATCAGTTTCTACATCTTCAAAGTAATTTGACGATGACGAAAAATATAAGAATGAGAGAATAGAAATGTGCAACGTTACATTTCCAAATCACCCACCCTGCTCCCCCTTGTTGCAATCAGTTGCAATTTTTTACCCCATTAATCACGCAACGTTATTTATGGATAGTCCCTAAGTATTATTAATTTATTCTTGAAGTGCTTTATTTTACATTTAAAATATATTTTTCATTACAAGCATTTGTAAATATTTTATTTTTAAAATATGTTTCATCGTAAAGTATTTTAGCCAGAAAATTAATGATATTTTAATTAATGATATTTTTAATTATATTTTAAAGACTGCACACAAAAAATGTTTCCAAAAGCAACAGTAGCTGAGATAGACAAATCCATTAAAGATTGGCTCATAGCGTGTACAAAACGTGAAAACCGTCGACAGTACGTGCAATAATTTTTTCAACATAATATATATATTATGTTGAAAGCCAATCTACAATATATATATATATATATATATAACATGATTCTATATTCACAATCTAAAAATCTTTTTATATACATTTTTTATTTTTTTTATAAATATTTGTTTGTATATTAATTACATTTTTAAAGGTATTTAAAATACATAGCTTAGCTTAAGGAGAGGGACCGGTTAAATTTTAAACTATCAAAATTAATACTGTTCAGTGGTGTCAATTTTTTTTTGGTAGAATTTATAATCTAAAAGTATTGTATATTCTTAGAATTCATAAAAAAAATTTTGACATTTTAGAAATTACATTTTTTGCAAAAATTAATATTTTTCAAAATCCATTTGCTTTATTGTTTAAAATCATGACAAAAGCTAGAAAAAATCAGTAATGAAAGATAATGAAAATTGTAAGAGAAATTAAATTTTAATTTCTCGAAAATTTTTATTTTTATTTTAAAAATTATCAACAAATTAATAATATTTTAAATTTTTTACAATATATTATAATGTTGAATATTCAATATTGTTAGAAAACAATTGACGATTCTAAACATCATTGATTTCGCTGGGCTAAAAATTAACCGTTTTCTTCCCTTAGTTATTACTATACTGTGCTTTTTAATTGATAAAAATACAAATCATTTAAAAATAAATTTTATTATGATTATTTACTTAATGGTTTTTTATGACAATCTTTAAAGACAATAAAGTTATTTTTTTTTGATTAGTGAATTCATAGATTGCTATAATGAATCATAGAAATTGTTTAGTAATAATATTCCCGAACGAAATATGAACTATAAGACCTAATTTTTCAAAATTTATTTTAAAGATGATGCAAGTGAAAATAATGCTAATTAAAATAATTTATACATAAGAAAGAAGGAACAGAAGCGAAAGGAAACTGAATCCGCCATGCAGCTTGAATTAGAAGACGAGGAAAATGATAATGATGGTGGAGTAGAAGATAATCTGGACTCAGATCCTGAAAACCGCGATTAAACATAATTAAATTCAATATTCACTTCATGAAAAATTCTGCAACTATCCGATATTCATTTTCTTTGGAGGATGTAGCTGTTAAAGTGTGGTCAATACCGTGTGAAAAAGTCGAATTCAAATTCCTCTAGCACATTCCTTTTACTAGTTTTGACTAGTTTTAACATTTTTTTACTATACTTGCCGCAGATTGTGGGAGAATTTCGATGTACGCCGCGGTTGTCGCTGCATCTAAAGTTAAAAAGAAATATCAATTTTCTTATTTTCTCTACCGTTACATATTTAATGAAAGAGAATGTTGATGAGTGAAATGACTGTTGTGTATTATTGTATTAAATTCCGATTTATAAATTTTGCCAAATACTTACCATAAACTCAGTAACTTTTAATTATCCCTGCGAAGTGAATGATTTCCAAAAAGCGTATACTCTATGTACATTATCCAAGAACTTTTACAAAATAAACAATTGTATTTCAATTTCATTAAAAGGATTTCACAATAAATTTAAAAATAACTTCATCAAAATTGAATTTTTTCTCTCCTTCGGGTCTATTTTTCAGTTAAAATAAGGATTTTTTAAATAGTAAAATTAATAGAATCGTTTTATTTACTTTTATCTTTAAAAGGCGTAAACTCGTTATTTGAAATTTAAACTCATCCAACATGAAATTAATTTGGTCGATTGATTAACATTTAGCTTTCTTTAACTAACTAGAATTGATAATAAAAAGAACTTTTAAAAATATTTTTTATAAGCCTTTCTGAGACATATTTTACAAGTTTTTGTCAAAAAAATTTCTATTGCATCCTCAACAAATAGGTTTCCAGGGAACAATTTGAGCAAAAATTTCCTACGCAGTTTCTCTGCATGATCCTATTAAGTATTCCGCAGAGAAAATTTCTAAATATTCCTGGGAGAAAACTATTAAATCTTCCCGGAAGAATACTTTGGAATATTTCTGAAATATTCCTATTACTTCTTCCAGTCAAATTCTCAAGGGATATTCCAGGAACCTTCCTTTGGAACATTCAAAGTCAAGTGGACATTTCCTATATTCCCAGGACCTTCCAAGCACCTTCCAGCGGAATATTCCAAATATTCCAGCGGAACATTCCTGGAAGGTTCCTGGAATATGTTGTGCTATCTGGGAACAAGAGCATGATATTGTTTATTTATTATTAATATTTATTTTAAAATGTATAAAAATAAAAAAATTTTATTCTTGAGTAACTGTATTAATAAAATTTATCCCAGTTTAAATTTGAATTTCGCGCTGCGTACTATTATGTACGATAATTTTGATAGGTCGCGTCCATAATTTGTTTCATCGCATCTGGCAACACTGATTATTATTTTTTCTAACTCCTAGACAAACAGGGCGAATCATAATGGTGGCGAATAATGTCTGGATAAAAAATTATTGAAATTGTAATAGTCTGGAAAAAGTGCGGCGTAAGGTTTCAAAACTTGGATAGGCCATGGATTATATATCAATATATTAATAAATTTTGACCTAATGCAATATACTGACTTTTCTTTTTTTTGAAATACTCGTGATAAAATAGGGAATCATAATTGACAAGAAAAAATACAAAATTAGGCGCAGAAGTTTATTGCATTTTCATTCGTTTATAATAATGTTTGCTATTTTAAACAAATTATGGACAAAATCAAACCTATTTTTTTTTTGGTTTGAAAGCATGATTATTATATATTACTCATACCAAATTGTAGCAAGATTTATCAAGTACAACCGTAGAAAAGCTTTTTTAATAATTGGATGCTTAAAAATTATTTAAACAATAACTCTTAAAATAATTAAAATTTTGCAAAACAACTTTAGGACCTTATTTTGATTCGAAAATACTATAAAATTATTGATATGACATATAAAAATCTCGCCATCGAAAAATTAGTGGCTCATTTCAGAAATTTTGAGCCTTTTACGTCAACTAAAGTTTAATAGTATTAGTTCAGTGAAAATAAATGACGTGAATATGAAACAGAATGAAAATCGCTAATAAATTGATTGAGAAATCAATTTTTCGTATGCGTCATAGTAAGGGCCTTTTCATTAAAACGCGTTTGTTATTCAGAGAGAATAAAATTATTAATATTTTGTCTGGCTCATCACAGATATTTCATTCTTTAGCACTAACCTTGAAGATTATAATTTAATTTTTGTTAAATTGTTAAAAAAATTTAATAATAGCAGTAACTAAATTGTTCGCTACGTGGAGAATCATCCACATACGATAACCTTACAGCAATATCTTGTGCAATGTGCGTTATGTATTCCACACAGAAAAAGTTTTCGAGCGATCTGTAGTCTCTGCGTGCTAGATTGCAGTACTAAATGAGATAATGATAACATCTTTTCCTTTAAGGAAAAATGTTCACTCTTGAGAGGGGGCTGCTTCCCAATAAGAGATACATTTAAACAATGAAGTTAATATAGGAGAGAATAATTTGTAGTGCTGCTCTCTCTGAGGGTACTCATGTGCCACAGACACGTACTGCAGCATAAATATGTAAATGACACGCAACGTTACTATAGGTAGGAAAATGTACCGATCGAAAACTTTTCCGAGTATCTGTTTTGTACATTGAAACAATCTTTAATTATAAATTACCTGCGCATCGACTTTGGTACCACTGAGTCCATCCCAAATAACTTTATGCCTTAAGTTTGATTCCTTACTTTGAGGATTTTTTAGAAGGGCTTCTTTGGTAAAATTTACGACTTTCAGTTTGTCAAATTTAAAATTGATTAATGTTGAAATACTCTCATTGTTTTTCTCCTTCTTGGACATAGGTTGATGACGCATAACAAACCAGTTAGAAGGTGCAGAATTTGCAGATTTCACAGTACTAGAACATAATAATTTACTTCTTGTCTCATGCAGTATAGAGATATCAAAGCTGTTAGAACGAAAATTTTTAAGATTTTTTTTATTTTGTACAGGTCTTTTACTAGACTTATTTTCCACTGTCAAAGAAAATTCTTCATCGCGTCTATTAATTTCAGTGGCTGATGATGTTAATGAACTGAGAATAGAAATGAGATCTGTGTTGGAGCAAATAATTCCAGCACTTTGCGAAAATTTACTTCTGGATATTGGAGTTACTGGCATTTCCGAAACTCTTCTTCTATTATTTGACGCTGCAGGAATTGAGTCTAACGTGAATTCCGAAAATCTACGATGCTGTTGTATGTAACGCTGTGCTGAAGTACTACCTTCCAGTGATTGAACTTCACAAACTCGTTCCTTTGAAGATGTCTTATACATTTTAAGACGAACCTACGTAAGCGAAACAAAATATTAGACAACGATTGAAATACAATTATTAGTCCAGTCAAGTTAGCATTTTTAAATGTCACTCCGAAAAGAAATTTTTTTGCATAAAATTTGCATACCAAGATTCATTCCAGGGTGGGTCAAGCTCTTTTAATGTTGCAATATCTACTAAAGTTTTGCACTAACTCAATTGTAATTTTAAATCAGATATGAAAATCTAAATACCTTTCAAAAAATGTAAAAACAATTTTGTATCACTCAAAAAGGGAGTGTGCCAATGTGTCGGCAGCTTTTTATACAAAACTTACAGTATTGGGATTGGCTGTCTAGTGACTTTTACCTAAATACTTCGTCAGATATTTTGGTTTTTATTTCCTTTTCCATCGTGTTGATTAAAGAAAGACGAAAAAGAAACATGGTTGTCAGAAGTAGGTAAACACAAAATGGCGTATTGAAGTACAGCCAATCCCAATAGAAAGTTCAACATTAGTATAGTTTGAACCTACAGTGCCTCCATTGCATGCATTCGTCGCCTGCTAAGGTAACGGTTGTAATGGAAATGTTTTCCATGGTAACGGTTGCTCTGGTAACGTTTGTTACGGTAACTGTTACCATGCCAACCATACGAGTGTACGACGGACGAACGCCAAAGCGAAACTATAAGTCCAAAGGCAGCCAGTGTTTACGTTGGCGTTTGCAGCCCGAGACGGACTTTGAGTAAGCAAATTATAAGGTATTATAATATATAATAATTCATTTCTGTAATTCACTAACTTTTTTCTTACAAGTAATACTAGAGGGGTTGCAGACACCAATTTTCCTGAAAATTTGCATACAAGTAGTTCATTGGAAAATATTTGACAACTATTTTTTTAGATTTGCCCAAAAATGGTTAAAGCGGTAGAAATCACCCGTAACAATTTTTAGGGGTGAAATTGATTATTCTACGAATTATTTGAACAATTATTGTTAAACCGGGCATAGAGGTGTTTCTGAGGTAGTTAATTACGAATATCAAGTGGGTTTCAAAAACTCAAAATTTCGGATCCAATATGGCCGATTAATTTTAAAAAAATTATTTATTTTTTTTTAATTTGTTTCTAAAATGATTAGATTTTATAAAACTTTGTATTAAGGGGTTTTTGAGGTCGTTGATAACGAATATGAAGTCAGTTTTAAAAAATTCAAAATGGCGGATTAATTTTTAAAACAATAGTAATTTTTTTGAAAAATGTTGAAATTTTGTATCAAATAATAGGGGGTGTCAAGGAAAGCTGATAAAATTGACCCCCCTTTCTATCTTCCCCAAAATTGCAAAAAAGTCAAAAATTTTTTTTTATATTTTACCATTAGGTAGGACAACAATTTCCAAAAGTTTTAGTTTTTTGGAGAAACTGATTTTTTAACATAGGACATTACAATGAAATGCCTCCATATTGGATTCGCCATTTTGAATTATGAAAACCGACTTCATATTCGTAATCAACGACCTCAGAACCCCCTCTATACCCGGTTTTATAATAATCGTTCAAATAATTCGTAGAATAATCATTCTCATCCCTAAAAAGTTTTAAGAGTGATTTCTACCCCTAAAACCATTTTTGGGCCGATATAAAAAACAGGTGTCTAATATTTTCCAATAAACTACTTGTATGTAAAGTTTCTTATAATTTAAAACTTAACAATCTTTTATATTAAATTTATTTATATATTTTTAAATTAAATTTTTTTTTAAAGTCTGCAATTAAATAAACTTAATATATAATAAAAATTAAATTAAAATTAATATATAATATTTTAAAGGAACTTTTCGTCTATTAATTAAAATTAAGATTTTTTACTTAAATATACCGAAAACTTAATTACACTAATTTTAATAAAGTTAATATTTTATTTTATTTTCGAATGAAAAAACTTTGTATTATGCTACCTTTGTACAATTAGTATATTGTAGATGTTTAAAAATTTTTATTGAGCAGGTTAGACTTTTCATTAAATTTAAAATGACATATTTTTAATAAACAGATAAATATTTTATTTTGCCTGAATTCCACGGAGGAATAGTAAGGAGACCGATCTTGCTGTAGTAGCGCTTCTGAAAATGTTTATTTTAAAATGTCGTGCTGTGTGCCAGGATGTAAAAAAATCTTTTTCATGACATACGTAATAAATAATATGTTTGTAATTACTATGGCTCCATTATTCTTTTAATAATTACTTCAATTTATTGACACTTTAAATATTCCAATAGCATACATTATTATATACTTACACATTATTTTGGAGATACAATATCGTAATGGTAAATAAAATTTCTGAAATAAACACTGAATACTAATATTTTTTTGTGACATATATGTATATCGCATAACCACACTTTTCATCTGTCAAAATTGAGGTCCAATGCGCATGCTCAACTGCTTTGGCCAGTTGAGTACAATGCACTGAACCTGGCACTTATCGTACATGTTTTTCTGACATTTTCAAACGCAGAGATCGGTCTCCTTACTATTCCTCCGTGCTGAATTCATTAAAATGAATAATAATAAAAAGCAGATTTTTTTATTTTTTTTGAACAAAATTGGACTATTTAAAACCAGGTAGAATTTGAATATTTATTGTGTCTCGATATTACCTTTTGGGTCGTAAATTTCTATATATATTGGTATCAGCGTCGGGTATCACATAGGGAGATCTATTCATATGTGTGAGTGATTGTGCGTGTCAGCGGTTTTCTTAATATAGGCCGTTCGTTGTCTAGTATAAGAAATAGGTAGTCTAGATATTTCCGGATTCTCACCGATTAGGGGACCAGCGGGAAGGAAGGAAGAGCGCGCGCAGTGATCAATTAACAGATCAAACCGGGCTGACTTGGAAGACGAATATATGTTGGCAAGGAGTGGTTACAAGAACTATATTAAAGTGTTTGAAACACGTATAAATGTGTGAAGTGAAATATTTTTAATAAATAGTTTATTTGGTTAATTGTGAGTTCATTATTATATTATTATTTATTATTATATTTTTAATAAATAGTTTATTTGGTTAATTGTGAGTTCATTATTTATCCATGTCGAGTTGCAGCCAACAGCAATAATCCTTCGACAGTTTTTATTAATGGTAAATAGCCTTCAGTTAGTTCGTTGTTTAAAACATCTATCGGCATTACTTGTCTAGTTCTTGCTTTGATCTTTACATTTTTTGGTTTATTTGCTATATAAATGAGTAACTATAGAGAAAGAAGGAAAGGACCCCGCTCCAAATACATGGAAAAAAAATTCTCGGTCAAATTTTTTGTAACTTTGCAATTTTGTAGCTTTTGACCTCCTGAACAAAAAATGTTAATGGCAAAATCCAAAAAAATGGACAGATTTTTTGTGAAATGAGATTAAAGTTGAAAATTCGCAATATGATCCAGATGTATACAGTAAAAATGAGTAAAACCCAAACAACTGAATTGACTAGCTTGAAACCGGTTAGTCGGGGGTATTTGCGGTCGCTGATGACGAAACCACTGTCAGTTTCTGAAAATATAAAATGGTGGAGCCAATATGGAGGACGACTTTTTTAAAAAAACAACGAAATCACTTGAAACTGGTTACTCGGGGGTTTTTAGGGTCGACGATTACGAATTCGCTGTCAGTTTTTAAGAACACAAAATGGCGGATCCTATATGGAGGACGGTTTTTTTTAAATACAACGAAATCAAGGCTTACTTAATGTTCAAATCTTACTTAAAGCTCAAAGCATGTTTATTGCTCACGGCTTGCTTAATGTTCAAGGCTTGTTTATGGCTCAAGACTCGCTTATGGCTCAAGGCTTTTTTAAGCCTCAAGTCTTGCTTAAGGCTCAAAGCTTACTTGATGCTCAAAGCATTATTATGGCTCCAGGCTTGCTTAAGGCTCCAGGCTTAGTTAAGGTTCAAGGTTTGTTTAAGACTCAAGAGTTATTTAAAACTCAAGGCTTACTTAAGGCTCAAATCTCCTACATGCTCAAAGCATATCTATTGCTCACGGCTTGCTTAATGCTCAAGGTTTATTTAAGGCCCAAAGCTTTCTTAAGGCTCAAGGCTACCTTAAGGCTCAAAGCTCGCTTAAGGCTGCAGGCTTGAAACTTGATTATGGCTGAAGGGTTGCTTAAGGCTTTTAGAGCTTTTAGCTTCAAGTAATGCTTGAGCCTTTAGCAAACTTTGAGCTTTTAGAAAGGCTTTGGCTTTAGTCAAGTCTTAAGCTTTAATAAATCTTTGGACCCTAAATAAGCATTGAGCTTCAAGCAAGCCTAAAGCTGTCGTTGAGCCTCAAACAAGCCTTGAACCTTGGACAAGCCTTGAGCCACAAGCAAGCCCTGATACTTGAGCGTGCCCCAGTTTCAATTGATTTCGTTGGATTTTAAAAAAAGTCGTCCTCCATATTGGATCCGCCATTTTGTGATTTTAAAAACTAACAGCGGATTCGTGATCAGCGACCCCAAAAACCCCCGAGTAACCAGTTTCATGCTAGTCAATTCAATTATATGGGTTTTACTCATTTTTTACTGTATATATCTGGATCATATTGTGAATTTTCAACTTTAATCTCATTTTACAAAAAATCTGTCCATTTTTTTGGATTTTGCCATTAACATTTTTTGTTCAGGAGGTCAAAAGCTACAAAATTGCAAAGTTACAAAAAATTTGTCCGAGAATTTTTTTTCCATGTATTTGGTGCGGGGTCCTTTCTACCCTTTCTTTTCCAAGATATTCTCTACCTAGAATTCCGTCGGATGCTATTGGAAAATCGGATGGTACGACTTGGAAAGTTACTGGTGTTTTGTTTATTAAGGATAGAAAGGATAAGATGGATAATAACTAGTAGTTGGTTGTTGTAATGGATATGGCTGTTCCAAAATTCCTGCTGGAATAGAGATCTGATGACGCAATTTTTGTTGCTCTTCCGGTGGAGCGAAACGTACCCTCGGACTAGGACTTCTATCTCTAGCTCCATACTCATTCATTTGCGGATGTC